CAGCGCTTAATACTGGGTTGCTGTTAAGGAACTTAAATTAAGTTACTATATTGGGGAAACCCTATTATTTACTATATATACCCATTATGGTAACTTAATTTAAGTTCCTTAACAGCAACCCCAAATAGGGACCTTAAAGTCCCTTTGCAACACCTTTGCATCCCTCAGGTCCTTATCAGTACCCATATGAGCCATAGTCTTGCCTCATGAAAGCGGGGTTACAGCAGGGATAGTGGAAAAGAAAATGGNNGGGATTGTATAGGGTTTAGGGTTCACGGTTTAAACTCCTTAAAGGGGGCTACATAGGGGATGATATAAGGGGGATACTAGGAGTTTAGACAATGGCTCTTTCATATAGAGAAGCCCCTGATTGTCCACCAGGAGAAACCCTAAACCCTAAACCCTATTCTGTGTTGACGTCTTAACATCTTAGCCCCTCGATCTGCAGCAAACTCAATCTGCGCTGCTCTTAAGGAACTCAAATTCAAGTTGCCGTAGTATGGGTATGTGGTAATAATAGGTGTTCCCATTCTAGTAACTTGGTACAAGTTTCTTAATAACAACCCAGTCAATCCTCAACCCTAAACCCTGAATCGTCTCCTTGTGATCTTCCACATGCGTTCCCATTTGGCGCGCCTGCGTACTTCGCACATTTTGCTGTCGTTGTGCTTTCAGAGGTAGTGTTGCCAAGCACTTCCATGCTGTTCAGGGTACAGGTTGGTATAGGGCTGTATTCTTATGTTTCAAGCAGCATGCAAGCCAAAAGTGTTCTCTAGTAAGGGATCTTCGTCTTGGCCAGTGATGCATTCGTGAAAGAAGGCTTGCGAGGCTGCTCCATAAGGTGATGTCCCAGGTGTATCAGCCAGCTATTTAGTAGATAGAATATGGGGTATATTATTGGGGTTATATGGGGAGAATGGAAAAGATAATGGAAACTGCAGGGATTATAAGGTAATTTGATGGGATATGGGTACCCCTTGGGGTAATATTAGGGATCTACCAGGGTTACAGGGGTTATCAGCCAGCTAGGACTCCTTTCTGATTTTCTTGCCCTAAACCCTAAACCCTAAACCCTAAACAGGGGCAAGAGAAAGCACCAGCGGGAAGCGTGCCGGCCTCCCACACTCCCCAGGACAGCTTAGGGTTTAGGGGTTTAGGGGTTTAGGGGTTTAGGGGTTTAGGGTTTAGGGGTTTAGGGGTTTAGGAGTTCAGGGGTTTAGGGTTTAGGGCAGCCGGTAAAGAATTACAACAGCAAACTGGGGAATCATGGTATTTGCCAACCATGCAGGTAGTGATGCTATTCTTGATGATTATCATTAGCATGCTGATGATGATAGTGCTGGTGGCGATGACTGGGTTGCTGTTAAGGAACTTAAATTAAGTTACTATATTGGGGAAACCCTATTATTTACCTTATATACCCATTATGGTCACTTAATTTAAGTTCCTTATCAGCAACCCAGTTTGTTTCAAAGATCGTGCCCCGAATCTTTCATCCTCAAGCCAAACCGCAACCCCAAGCCCCAAAGTCCAAGCCCAAAACCCCCAAAACCCTGGGCCCAATGCAACCCCTAGAGTATAGGGTTTAGGGTTTAGGGTTTAGGGGTGGGGTTATATGGGGTTAATGGAAAAGAAAATGGAAACATTACAATAAGGTATAAGCTGGCTGAGTGAACAGACTTTCGCTTTTCCTTAGCATACTCCAAAAATATGACCTTCAATATCCAAAACCCGTAAGCCAGTATGGGGACGCAGCAGGCGTCAGTACAGGAACCCTCTCACTTCTACCAGCCTAGACTTACTGGTGGCTGGGAGAGCATAAGGGAATATCATATTATATTCCAGTTTCTCAGGGTTTCACCTTCTGCTTATAAAGCAGACTGCAGGGTTAAACCGTTTCCACTCGTCCGTAGCCTTAGGCGGTTTTGGGAAGGCTTCTCTTGGGCTTGCTGGTGCCAGCTTTATTTTGGGTTCGGCCTTTGAGGCACGCTTACTGTTGAGGACGCTCTAGCAAAGTACAAATTGCCAAAAAAAATACTGGGCTCTTGTAGAACAAAATTTTGCATCTTTAGGGGTACCCGGGCCCAATATCAATCAAAAAGATCTTTTTTCATGGTATTTCAACAAGAATCCAGATTAGAGTATGGGGTTTGGGCTTAGGGTGCCTGCGGATCTCCACCCCTTGACGCTTGCACCTGCATGCTGGGCCATCATTTCGGGTCCAAGGTGGTCTTCAATTCTGGACTTTTTGGGTTTTGGGTTTAGGGTTTAGGGTTTAGGGAGACTTCTGGACTTTTTGACTGTGTGTGTGCTCTGGCGCAAAGACGTGAAGTAGGATTTAGGTCATTCCCCCTCCCAGTAACTGTCTTTAAAGGGGCCTTATTAAGGGGGTTCTTATAGCTCCTATAACCCATTGTGGTAACAGTTACTGTAAGGGGGAATGACCCAAAGTAGCATGGTGTTCTGGCAGATGCTTGGCATTTGGGTGCTCACCTAACCATGGCCAGTTTTGATGTCAATATGAATTTGGGTAGTTTCCAAAATTAGGGTCCCATTTTGGTACCCCTAAATATGAGGTGCCGTAATATGATTCAGAACCAACAGGGGCCCATAATTTTGAGAATAACCAATTTTCATCTTCATAAAATGTTAAGATTAATGTCCAAAGTGATATGAACATTACCCTAAACCCTAAACCCTAATATTGGCTGGACGAGGACTCCAGTGGATCCCGTCTTTCCCAACGACTTCCAGCTGATGAGTCTGCGGAGGCCAGAAATGCTACCTCCCCATAATATCCCCTGGAAATCCCTTTCTAAAGTATTAGGGTTTAGGGGTTTAGGGTTTAGGGTTTAGCTCAAAATCCCTATCTGAAGTGAGCGTACTTATTTCCTGTCGCATATGGGGAATCTGGAAACAAACTCATGCCAGATACTTATATGTATATATATATATGTATTTATCTATATTTGTATATATATATATATGTATGTATATGTATACATATGTAGCTCCCCAGGGTGCCTAGGAGAAGGAATTTGCATTCAGCGTCCAAGGCGGCAGGTGCTTCTATGCTATGGTATGGCACCAATCCTGCAAACTGGGAGGTTGCTTCATTCCATAAACCGGAGCCCTAAACCCTAAACCTGCAAAAAGTCTTAAACCCTAAAACCCATTCCATGAACCGGAACCCCACCTCGTGCATTAGTTTCCATTTTCTTTTCCATGTAATCCACCAGGGTTTAGGGGTTTAGGGTACTAACCACTAAGAAGGGAGTCCAGATTCAGAGCAAGGCTAGTTTGGTGTGGCAGGTACCGGCAGGAATAGTGGAAACGCCACCAGGTCGGGTAAGTAATCTGTTGCCTCATCGCGCGGAACGCTCCCAGCCACCCCTTACTGGATGGCCATGCTATGAAGTACCTAACAAAAATGCTGTTGTGAGCTTATGTGCCGTAAACCCCAAACCCTACATCTAGAGTCCATTTGCCTTCAACGTCCCTGAAACGAAGCGATAGTAGAGGGCTGTGATAGTAGAAGCAGGTAGATGTGGCGACAAAATAGCAACAGACCAGATGTTGCTAATCCCACAGCCCGTGTACCACCAGAAATTTGAAAGGTCAGCTATTAGTGGAAGGAATGTCAACGTGAAAAAGACAACACGAACAAGGGAAACAATCAACGCAACAACCAACGTTCAAGAATGACCTGATGAACGGCATTTGCTTCGACAAAAGCTGCTGTTGCTGATATTTACCCTAAATTCTGAATCTTAACTTGTCTCTTAACCCCAAACCCTAACTTCGGAACTTGAAGGCCTAAACCCGAGTCAAAACTCTCAACTCAAAGCCCTACGCTCTGAGCATGAACCCTCATATCAATCCAGTTTCCATATCCTTTTCCATTTGATTCTCCTTGCCAACCCTGCTCTTAGCAACTTTAGCTCCCTGCAGACCAGCTCTTCCAAGTGGCGTTCGCTGGACACATTTTTCCTAACACCGAAGCTGGGATCTGGTAGAGGGTTCATAGGGTTTATAGGGCACCTCAAGAATTTAGCAGGAGTATAATAGGGTTCGCAAAGTTGTTTTAGGTTCAGGTGTATGGCTCAGGGGTTTCGGGTACAGGTTTTAGGTTTGATGGGCTAAGGCGTTCATAGTTGATGGCTTAGGGTTCAGGTTTTGGGTATTGGTGGGCGGGGCTTATTGTTTGGGTTAAGGGTTTAGGGTTCAGGTTCTAGGGATTTGGGACTGGAGGTTTAGGCTTTAGGGTTTAGGCTTCAGGGTTGACGGGTTAAAGCTGTTGAGGCTAGGAGATTGGGGGTCCAATTTGTCGGGTCTGTTTAAATATGGTCAAGGTATCGGGGTTAGATCTTCTGGTTTGAAGGTGTTGGGAATCGGAGATCTACTTTGGGTGCTCGCTTCGGAATGCCTTCGCTGCCCAAGGAAAGAGCCACCTGCAAGTACCAGCTCCAAGCAAGTGACCTTTCACGGGCGCATCAACCCGGACGCTACAAGTTGCTGGTTCTCCTTCCCAGGAACCTGAGCAGATGTTAGTGACTTCACCTGAGCTCATCCCAAATGGTGGCTCAGGAGTTTAGGGTATAGGGTTTCGGGTTTTCTGCTTTGGGCTCAGGGTTTAGGGATAAGGGCTTAACCCTAAACCCCAAGCCCCACGAATGGAGAATCACATGGAAAAGAACATGACTACTGGGATTATCTAGGGGCTTCTAGGGTTTGTACTCAAGATCCTGCATGACGTTCAGTACCTACCTTGTGAACGATGGTACGCAAGTATACGAAGGTGCTACAGAACTTTTCCTGTCAACCGTGTGATGCGTACCTCGCAAGGGCCTTATTTCAGGCTTCTGACTTCCTCGAATTTGGCCAGGGTTTGTCAGGCACATAGAACAGACCGTCTGGGCAACCTCTAAGTACCGTCTAGGTGTCCTTGTGAGGGGTCTGTCATGTCTGTCCTACCTGGGGTCTCCTAGAATCCCTCAGAACCCTACATCCTAAACCCGGAGCAGTGTAAGGAAAATACGTACCTGGCTGGGACGCCTTGACCAACGACTTCAAGACTGACTCCGTGGCCTGTGTTTTCTTGACCAAGGAAGAGGAAGGCACCTGCCTCAGTTGTGCATGAAACGTGGAAGCTTGTGCAAAACACGGGAGCTCTTGACAATTATCCCAACAGAAGTCTTCCTATACCCCCTTGTGTTCCCCACAAGGCTTGCTAAAGGTCACTGTTTTTGAGAGACCAAAGTCATTACTGCCCACTACTACCACCACCACTACTACTATCTCCACTCCTACCACTTCAATACCGCCTATTGCTTCGGTTCAATAGTCACAGACGAGATTTTGTGTTTGTTGCCGGGCCTTAGTTCTGAGTAGAACTTCAACCTTGAATATCTAAACCCCAAGTCCTAAATCCCAACACCCAAACCCTTAGTCCTTAACCCTAAATCCCTAAACCCTAAATCCCTAAACCCTGTCTACTGGCTTGCTTCTTCAGCTCAGGCTTCGGCCGTCATGCACAAGATCCCAGAAGACCGACGCAGTGCCTTTGCCATAGGACAGAGTTCCTGTTATCATGTATATACACATAGAGATAGTCCTTCTTAAGTAGATACAATATAGGGTTGATGGGGATCTTATTATAATATACCATTCGATCTACTCCAAGGGGGACTATACCCTAAGCACTAAAAATTAAACCCTAAACCCTAAACCCCATATTCTATTTACTTAAGGGTTCAGGATTTAGGGCTTAGGACTTAAGGTTGAGGGTTTAGGGTTCAAGATTTTTAGGGTTTAGGACTTAAGGTTAAGGGTTTAGGATTTATGGTGTATTGGGGACAAATTTAGGGGACCCTACATCCTAAACCCTAAACCCTACACCCTAAACCCTACAGGATCTATGGCGGAGAGAAGCCTTGGGGGTGTGGCTAGGTGATACATTGGGTACAGGATTTTTTGTGTTTAGGATTTCTGGGGTGTCTAGGATTTAAGGTTTAGGGTTACGTACAATTTTTGTTAGGGATTTTGAGGGTTTTGAGTTTATAGGGTTTGGGGTTTAGCCGTATCGTTGTATAAGGGAACCTACTCATAAGTGGTTTTGTGACCCTAAACCCAGGTGAGTGGTATGTCAAATGGTTCGAGAATCTTGGTCGGAATAGCATATCTAGGTCAAAGTTTGGGATCTTTTACACGCTTACTGTGGTGCTGAAACATTTTGTGTTGATGAGCTGAGTGGTCAATGAACAGTGTGCCTGAAGAATTATCCCAAGAATGGCCCAGGAACGTCAAGGAAGCAGTGGAGCGGAAACAACGTTTGAAAGCTGTGTTCTTTCCAGGACAAGTCGGACTTGGCAAGCTAACCATGGATGAGCTTTCGCAGCACCTTTGCTGTCCAGTTTAGGGTTCAGGGTTTAGGGGTTTAGCGTCTGTTTACTCTCAATCACAACAAGAGCTTAACAAATTTTTTAAAGGGAAAGTCTGGAACCCCAAGCCCCAAAGCGTGATTCTGAAGAACTGAGGCCCTCAGTTGACTTGTGGGATGGCATTGGCATAGGTGGATCTCAGAAGTGTGAGTTGGCGACGGCAGATGACATGGGCTGGGAGTATGATGAAGTTGACGTCACCCTCCTGTTGCTAGGTGGCACTTTGGCATAAGTAATTCCTCCCTGTTGCTGTATAAGGGAACCTGCTCACAAACAACTTTTGGCGGACCCTTAACCTTCCAAGTGCTACCCAGGTTGGAAAACCAGTTTCCGAAAGGCACTCCAGTTCATGCGTGGTGCGAAGCGCAGCAATCATGGCGGACGGGAACGGTTGTGACGCAGAAGATTCAAGAAACTGGGTTGCTGTTAAGGAACTTAAAATAAGTTACTATATTGGGGAAACCCTATTATTTACTATATATACCAATTATGGTAACTCAATTCACATTCCTTAACAGCAGCCCAGGAAAAGGAGAAGCTATCTGGCGCGAAAGAGATGATCATTGACAGGTTGGTTGTTTGGGTAGTGCAATGTGACGATTCAGGCGAATTATTGGAGACCTCACGCGTTTCCGACACGGCCATGACGGTGAATCAGATGCTACAAGATTTCGGTGGGGACCTCAGGAGAAAGTTGATCTTGAATCACGTCATATGAAGGCATGCACAGCAAAGGCAGTAAGAGTCGTAACGGTAACAATAATCACGGTAGCAGATGTCTACGTAGTAGTGGCTACTGTTAGGAGCAGCAGCAGGAATCACAGTACTGGCAGTGGAACTGCCTTTGTCTCAGCACTAGTTCCGTGTGTTTGTGCTGGCAGAGCTACCGGTTGCAATCCTACGACGCAGGCATTGCACGACCAGGTGTTTGTAACGCACCTGTATGCGCGCACGTACCTCCGAAAGCTGTACTGCATTGGTCATTCAAGATCATGTGAAGGCACCATTCTTAACAGATCTAATTTGAGATGAAACGGATGCTTGTATGGCAGTTTCTCAAAATAGGGGGACCCCAATACAGACCCAAATATACTATATAGTCCTTATCATAGAAACTCCCAAAAATGTACCCTTAATTTTGGGAAACCCTAAACCCTATATAACCCTATAGCCCCTATATGACCCCCATATAGCCCCTATATCCCCCTTTAAAGGGTACCCTTAATTTTGGGAAACCCTTAACCCCCAACCCTGAACCCTAAAACCCTAAACCCTATTCCCTGCATGCCTTAGCCCATGGTTCATCCTTGAGGGTGGTAACTTCTCGCGGGAGACGAGGTCGGGTTGAAGATTCAGGGGGTTCTGACTTTCCTGGGGTTTAGGGTTTAGGGTTCGGGGTTTTAGGAAATGGGTTTAGGGTTTTAGGGTTTAGAGTGTCAGGGTTTAGGGTGTCGGAGTTTAGGGTCGAGGGTTAAGGGTCTAGAGCTTAGGGTCATTTCATTCTTTCCATGATCACTCTTCTAGGTTGCTGTTAAGGAACTTAGATTAAGCTACCATAATGGGTATATGTAGTAAATAATAGGGTTTCCCCAATATAGCAACTTATTTTAAGTTCCTTAACAGCAACCCAGTTTCGTGAATGGGTCATGGTCATCATACAAGGAAGGACGGAGCTAAGCACGGCATCAGGTGATGTAGAAGCCTAACTGATATCTAATCTTCGGGTCCTAGGTCCCTAAAAAAGGGATTATGGAAGATGAAATGGTTAAGATAAGATTGGGTTTCATAGGGGTGGCTCTCAATATTGTGGTCCTAGATTTCTTGTATAGGAAAGACCTCACAACGGTTTGGGGCAAGCGGGGCAGTGGGGCAAGATGGGGCAAGTGAGGCAAGGGGGGGCAGGGCAAGCGGGGCGAGCGTGGCACACGAGCAAGGAAGGCAAAGGGGGCAAGTGGGGCAAGGGAGTCAAGTGGGGCATGGAGGGGCAGAACCATCAATCCCCCCAACTCGACACTCTCCGGTCCAATCCCCCAAAGTAATCCATCCTAAACCCTAAACCCTAAATCCTACACCCTAAACCCTAAACCCTATAGACTCTAAAGCGGGCTCGGGCCTGAGTCTTGGAGAAAAAGCAATGACGCTCTTTTCCAGGATTCCAAAAAAAACAGTTGCAAAAGGGTTGTCAAAAAAGTCCAAGGAATTGCCAAACAAAGAAATCGGCCAGAAGGACCTATTGCAGTAATCACGGTGGTAGAGTGAGTTGTATGGAACGGATAGTAAGACTTCTAACATGGTTGTAGAGATCAAGAACCATCCCAAGACCCTGCTGGGGTGGGTTCAGAACACACAGCGCACCACCACACAGATGCACTTTTTGTCAAGATCAGTAGTCTTCGTAGACCTGGCTTGCGGGACGGTAGCAAATCTCTCGGCAGTTGAAGTTGCCGCGGCCAACATGCTTGTCAAGTTGCATGTGTCAGATGGGGTACGGATTGCATAGCTGCGTTTAGGCTGTTCGGTAGCAATTCAGCCTCGACTGCCCAGGTCGAAAGAAATTCCAAGCTGTGCTGCAAGAGTGCCTTCGTGATATTCCTGTGCTTGAAATTGACACGTCTCGTCTGTGGAATGGCCTTTCGGCCCTGAAAATCAGGATTCAGATTGGGGGCATCAGCTCCACGTCTGCTTTTGATGCAGTCTTTTGGCTTGCTGCCTTTTTCTTGGTCATTGTAGCACCCCAAACTCCGTCATCACATAATTCGAATCCATAGATTTGTGTCGTTGCTCGTAGCCTATGGATGAAGTTGGCTGCATGAAGCCCAGCATTGATTGCCTTCGGATAAGTAGTCCAGGCTCTCTTCATGTACTCAGAGATCGAGTTCTGAGCGGTGAGCTGCAGGGTCAAATCAACACCGCCTTGTCCAAGAACAGACCGCTGTCTAATGAGTCAGATGAGCTTTGGCAAGTTCAAGTCGACAAGACGCGATTCTTTGAATTATATGAGGACAACCTTTTGGCCCTAGAGGAGATGACTCCTCACCAGCGTGAAAAGCTTCGAGACATCAGGGGGATGTCGTCCGTACACTTGTCGGCTCCAGCCGGAGCAGGCAAGACCTTTGTTGCAGTCCAGCGAGTGCTTGAGGTTCTAATGGAAGACAATGGACATCGAGTGCTTTATGTTGCACCTTCGCGGGAACTGGTCTACCATTTCTTGCAGTGGATGGTCATGCGCCTCTTGGTTCAGTTTCCAGACCCCATGAATGCGACTATCCAGCAGCTCTTGTCTCACATGGTGGTAATGCACAAGCCTTACCGTAGTCTGCGCACCCCAAAGATAGACGATGACAGCATCGAGTTTGAGGAGGCAGAGAATCTGGGTTGCTGTTAAGGAACTTAATTCAAGTTACTTTATTGGGGAAACCCTATTATTTACTACATATATCCATTATGGTAACTTAATTTAAGTTCCTTAACAGCAACCCAGGAATATTGGTACGTTTGCTCTTGCTGTCCTTGACGAAAGCCACAACATTTATCGCTCGGATGCGGATCGCGGTATCCTCGATGATCTCAAATACGTCCGCACACTGCTGTTGTCGGACGAGTCACAGTCTTCAGCAGTAGAAGCCAACTTTCCTTCAATGGAGAGAGTTCGACTCCAACAGGTGGTGCGGAGCACCAAGCGAATTGTGGCTGGTGCCTCGCCGTTTCAGCTTGGCTCCGAGCCCGTGACATCCGCTGGTACAGATGGCCCACCCTTGAAGACCTTCCTCTTCGACGTGTCGAAGGCCACGGCAGAAAAGGGAGATTGGGCAACGCAGTATGCCCACTACGTGGTAGATGCGCTGAGGCATGTCGCAAAAGCATTTCCGGGCGTCAGTCTCCACAAAAGAGTTGCCCTTCTAGTCCCGGACGATGGCTTCAAGAGCGCCCTGGAGCCGGTTCTTTGGAAGGCTCTCTGCGAAAGGTGGGAGTTTCTCAAAACTTGGGGTATCTCTTTCGGGGTCTCTATAACAAGGATTATAGTAGTGTTGGGCCCCCCCATTTTGGGAAACTACGGCCCTGAATCCTAAACCCTAGATTCTAAACTCTAAACCCTAAACCCTAGACCTTCAACCCTAAACCCTAAACCCTTCATTCTCAATTCTAAATCCCTAAGCCCTCTAGGTTCCCACAGCGCAACTTCCGGCTGATCAGTTTCGCCCAGTCCTTGCGATCGCTGCCGGAACGACTCCGGGGCCATGGTGTGCAGAGACTCGGGCAGGTAGGCAGCTGAAAAAAATAGGGTTATGAGTAGTAGAAGTAGTAGTAGTAGTCGTAGTAGTAGTAGTAGTAGTAGTAGTAGTCATAGTAGTAGTGGTGGTAGTAGTAGTAGTAGTAATAATAGTGGTGGTAGTAATAATAGTAATAGTAGTGGTAGAACTCCTAGACATATTTTGGAATTCAGGGCCGCTCACAATTCCCTTCATATTTGTATATTATATATAATATATATCGTAATTATATGGATACACATGCACAAATATATATATATACATGTATACATGCATCTACATTTATTTTTGTGCCAATCTTAAATATTTTTTGTATATATTTATAGTATGTATATGCATATACATATATCTCTTTTCTTACATGCTTATATATATATACATACATATATACGGAGCCCCACCCTCTCGTTTTTTTAAATTGCCCTAGGTGGAACACATGGTCTTGGACAAGATTGATGTTGCCGAGGGCCTTGAGCAGCTTATTGTTATTTGTATAGGCTTCTAGGTGGCAACTGTGGATCGGCATAAGTATGGTATGGAGATGGGACTTTTGATATTCGTATTGTGGTTTATATGTGCGAGTTGCGACTTTATAGGAGGACCCATTGACATGATACATGCCTTCTTGGGACAGAGAACTACGAACCCAGGCTTGGATGCAGCGATTCACCGCGATGTAGGTGATCTCTTGGTCCGCGCGCAGCTGTACAAGGGCATCACTAGGGCACAGCTCATGGCCATTGTGGTCAACAAGCGAGTTCCGAATGGATGGCTGGAATTCCTGACGAATGTGACACGCTGGTTGTTACTGGTGATGGGTGTTGGTGGTTGTAGAAGAAGATGTAGTATTAGTAGTAGCAGTAGCAAAAGTAGTCGCCGTCGTCGTCGTCGTCGTCGTCGTCGTCGTCGTCGTCGCAGGGAACGAAGGGAAAGGATCTGTATGGCACTCCCTGTATAAGCCGTTATTATTATCATTGCCACCGCATGCATTCTTCACTGCCTATTATCCGCCGGTAAGGTGAGGTACTCGCAAGGGAGCCTTTCCGCCGAAGAGGCAGCTCCACAAGGTTCCAAGGCTGCGGCGAAGATTTGTAGGGATGCCGTGGAGAAGGTGAAGGCGAAGAAGGATGCAGCTCTGAACAGCTCCCAGCCTCAGAAACTTGCTGGCGGTTAGTATGGGGATAAAGGAACCTGGTGAGGGGTCATGTAGGGACTACTTCGGGGATCCAGTTTGACAGTCCCAAGAAAAATCAGTAAGGAAGGGCAGCCAGAGGAAGGAAGACGCAATTCCAACGACCTCCCATAAAACTACAAGCGTCTCGACGGCCGGCCAAGAGGAAATCCCGGAAGGTCCAGAGTGTCACAGTTCGCTTGCAGAAGCTGGTGAAGACCCTTGCTCGTGTTCAGTCTGGGTCGATGTTGAGGGACTTAAATTCCGTTGAAGGGGTTATGCGCATTGATTATGCAGAGGTTTGATAGGGTAAGTATAGGGTTTAAGGATAAAATAGCACAACGGAAACTATGATGGACAAGACAAACGAAAATGAAATGGAAACTGGAGTTACACAGCGTCGTCCTAAGGAACTTACGTCAAACTATCACAGTACGGGTCTACAGTAAAGAAAAGCGTTTCCCTGTAATGGTAGCTAGGTTCAAGTTCCGTCGCAGAAATCCCAGTAGTTGGGAACGGGGCAAGAATCCTTATAGCAGCCCATATGCATTCCTCCGTAAGCATCCTTCCTTGCAGGAATTTCCGGTGCTTGATGAATTTCTGCCCGTGATGCAAGCACATGAGTCCACTCTCTGGGACACGGACGACAACAACGTCTCTACGCTTCTCGCGAAGCCTTTGTTCGATCCGCTGGCGGCTGAGGACTCTGGTGCATGTGTGAGCTTGCCCACCTTGCATACCAGTTTCCATTTCATTTTCCATTTTCTTTTCCATTTGATTCTCCATTATTGGGGTATTATCCCTATATAACCTCAATATAACAATCATTTTCGCGCAAATCCTTTTCAAGCTCCCACTCGCAAATCCTTTGTTGTGCTTTTCAGATTCAGTGCCTGGGTCCAGGAAGCTTTCTGAGAAGAGGAGTTCTTTTCAGCTGTCTGGCTCTGCATGTGGACTTCCGAAGTCTACCTGACAAACTCAGTCCGCTACTTCATGTGGTAGGTTGTCCAAGTTTGGTCCCTAGTATAACAAAGCCTTTAAGACCCTAACCCAAAAGAGTACCATACTTTGAAAAAACTGCCACAAATACCCCTGAGCCCTACAGGTTTAACAACCTGTACCCATTATTCGGTAGTTTCCAGAAAGTGGGGACCACAAATATGCATACCTATACTCTACCATCCTTCCTATGGGCACTCCCCAAAAAGGGACCCCTAATTTTGGGGAACCCCAACATTGTCCATCTTCTTTTCCAGTTGATTCTCCATCTTGGGGGGGTTAATATCCCAAACTCCTGAATGGTAGTCTCCCAAAATAAGGGGACCCCAATATAGACTCCATAATATTGAAGTCCTTATTATGGGGACCGCCAAAAAGGTATTCCTAATTTTGGGAAAAACCTTAAATCCTAAACCCTAAACCCTAAATTGTAGCTTCCATTTTCTTTTCCATTATCCCTATATAAAGGGTACCCCTAAATCCTCAAGCCGAGGCAAATACAAAAGTTTAGGGGTTTAGGGTTTAGGGTTAAACCCTGGGGCCTATACTACCCATTACAAACCCTGGGGCCTATGCTTATACCCATTTATCCCTAAACCTGACCGCATCAGGAATCCTTAGGTTTCTGTGTTCACTCCACTGGTTTTCCTGGGACTACGGATTTGCGCGTATTCAAGCGCTTGCGGATAGTGGAGGTGAGAAAGCTCACGCTACTTGCCATGTTTGTTACCAACCCGAAACTTCAAACCCTATAGTCCCCATTAAGTAG